TTTTTTTTTTCTTTTTTTTTTTTTTTTTTTTTTTTTTTTTTTGTTTTGCTTACATTCATTCATTATTGTCCTGTTCAGTTCAGTTTCATATAAAATTGTTTTTTATTTTTTTGTTATTCACATACGATTGTCGCATTTTTTGCGAACAATTTCCGTTAGCTCTTTTTTATTATAATATATTTTTAATTCGCGTCATGTATGTAAAAAAGAAAAAAAAAAAGAAAAAAGTAAACGAAAAATAACAACAGAAAAACGAACAGGATCATATGTCAGTCAGTTAATGAGTTATCGTACCGTGAAAGACACTCTCTTCTCCACGTTTTCATTACAAAGCCTAACAAATATTTCAATTATTAAGTCAATAATGTAACAAAGGGATATTTTTCCTGATATTCACATAATCAAATGTAGGTTTGTTGCAAATATTTTTTTACGCATTTTTTAAGTTTTCAAACCTTTATTATGAAATATTCTATCATTCTCGCATATTTGACGCTGGTTGAAGATGAATCCTTTATTGAATTTAATTTATTGTATTTTTATTTTATTTATCACATTGTTTAGGAAGACGTTTGAAAGCCATTTAAACGCAGAGTCCGCAAGGTGAACAATGGCATGGCAACGAATTTAATAAGAGGGATAATCTGTTCGAAAAAAAATGTAAAAATTTCAAGAAACTTTGTTCTCTTCAGAAAATATTAATCACATCCATATGAAAGCGAAATCTCAATTCATCGGCCATAAATATCGCTCAAGGTAAGAAAAGTTATATACATATATCGTATTGCTCGAGGACTTCGATCGTTTCGATTTCAAGATATTTTGTTCTAATCGAATATTAACCATTAAAAGTATTCTAAATGAGAAATTAAGAGAACTCTTATCCACGTAGTAGTTACGCATCATAAATGCTGATCGTTCAAACATCACTGAAATTACTATAGTGAGCGAAAATATTAGAAATCGCATATGCACACTTTCTGCCATTTCTTCAGTAATACTCTAACACCCTAGACACACTAGAAACTTTAAAGTTCTCCTTGAAGTCTCTTAAGCAGAAAGTGATGTTGTAAACTACGCCCGCGATAGGCATCCAAGTCAGGTTTTTTTGACTGATTCATAAGAAAAGCACACCTTAATTGAGTTCTTCAGACAACGACCTATCCATGGTCTGTTTATACCACGGTCTGGTTATATGTATGGATCTATAAGAAGTTTTCTATTAAGCAACCTAAGCCGTTTCATCACACAATGCCAGTGTGAACTTTTCCTGTTTACTGCTTGTACAAATCCAGTATCAAATGTTTGTCCACGCGACTTTGCCACAGACTAACAAACATCTCACCTCCTCGACAGCAGTTCCCTTTCAAGTGAATTATTCCTGATCATTATCATAAAATTTTCGAGTTCAATATTCATTTCATTACAGATGCGTAGAGGGATAGTCGATTGATCGAGTCAAGTGATTTCTTCATACCGAGACTTTTGATATGAGCAATCACATCCATTTAAAATCATGGATGAGATGGTTCCTTACCGGTTTCTTTTTTTTTTTTGCATCCATCTTGAATGTTGATGTTAATAGAAAAATCTATTAAATCGTCCGTCCTTTCACTGCTACTTTCTATAAAAGTTTAAATTATGGCTTCGGCGAAAAAAAAATTTGTAAAGTCGAGATCAGCATTCCGGGCAGTTATGTCATTCACTTACATATCATAGCAACTATCGTAAGAGTACAACAGTCGTTCATTTTAAATGAATCACGTAAAGGGTCCATTTCATGCGTTGCTTTTTCAATGCTTTCTTTTCGATTCCGCCAAGCAAAGAATAATGGGTCGCATCTTTCCGATTAGCCTTGTTCTTAGATAGTCAGCACATAATCAGGGAACGTACAACGAATGAATTCGTATGAATGTCAGTTGCTTTCAAGCTCTCGCTCACCGTATATCAAAGTGCAAAGAGATGGAAGTCATTTACGGTACTAGCGTTTATTCTACTTTTTTAACAGCAAATGAACCTGAGAGCAGCGATGAAGTTAACTTGGAATGAAAGTGCACGATGTTATGGAACAGTTGGAAAATGTGTTTGGAAATTTTGAGCATAAAAAAAATTGTTGTTTGTTGATAATGATGAAACTACACATACATCGCCGTCTGTCTCCAACAAAAACAATTAAAAGCATAACCCAATTGCGGCATAGTCGACTTCTGAATAACGCTGCTTTAGATTGATGCAGTTATATTTAGTAGGTCGGTAGCTCTGTAAAGTTGAAGATGTTCGAAAATGGATTGGTGACTATTTCATACCGGAAAGGTACCCGATGAAAGGCAAAAGACCGGCAATAGGTAAGAATGAGAAATGTTTTGATTATTAAACTCTACAACAATGAATTTGCATTTTATCAAAAAAAAAAAGGCATATGTAATTTGCACACCTAATAATATCTAACTTCCGCTTAAAATCGTTTCTTTTCAAAAATTTCGCTAAGATTAAGATAAGAAGTATTCTCAACGTATTAAGTAAAAATATCAAATAAACGCAAATAAGTTCTGCATGAGTTCTTGGATACTTAGCGCAGTGTGGATTAGAAATCCAATAACTTATGAGTATTTGCTGAAAATGTTGGCTTGTTAACGAAACTGTGCTTATATCCAATTATCTGAATTCCTCCTGATATTGGTTGACTTTCATTGATAATAACAGATGACACGGAACTAATGCAAGAAAACCTTTGGAATTGTTTACAAGCTTGAGAATATCAATTATAAACAATACATACTCAGATGGAGCTAAGGATAGTGCGACGAACCGAATATTAAATATCCTACTGGAATATAGTTTTAATCAAGGATTGGTATGCATGTTGTACAGACACGTCTGAGTAATGTTAGACAAGCACAAGGACAACTCCTCCAACTTGTTCTTCTTACTCATCATTCTATTAGCACCTAATGCGTTAATATTATGATGCAAAAAATTACAATCAATTATCTTAAATGCGTCGGATGCTATTAACCTTTACCGTATATACACTTATTTTTAAGTTTTTTTATTTTTTACTTTTTTTCTTCTCTCTTTTTTTGTTTGTAATCATATTTTAGATCTAAATTGAAATAAAATCCATTGCACTTATAAAGTCAACTATATCAACAAGCGATCCCTGCACCAAAGAAATTTTGGTAAAAAGCATCAAGTATTCATAATTAAGTTCAACAAGCCAAAGGTTGAATATGTTCGCGCTCGCAAGCTATTTACATCGGAACCCCTATCAAGTTTATACATAATTTTCAGTATTTGCTCTGTTCTTCTCGATTGGGCCAACTTGGAGAATACTTCTCTAATAAATATATATATATATATATATAAAAGCAACTAGTGAGCCTAAAAAAATTCCTTTTCAAGTTTAATACAAGCTGCCTCATATTTAAATTTAACATCTAAGAGATAACTCCATTTCGATACACACACACATCCGTTCATGCTTATGGAAACGAATTTAAAAAAAAAATAATGACAAATATTTTGCGTATGGTAGTCTATGAAACGGACCTTTAGAACTTGCACTTGTTAATAAATTTAACAACAAATGTTGCGACAG